TATTGAACTCAAGTTTTATTCATCATAAAATTCATATAACTCCTCATCACTGTCAAAACTCCCAACCATTAGCTTGTCCTCATCTGTGTCTGATGACAAATTACTGTCTTCATATATTGCCTCTCATGGCCCTCTTCTGCTGTGGCGTTTTCAGTAGGGTTTCTTTTTGCTGTAGCCAGTCTCCGATTGTTTTCTCAGTTGGAGGAGGACCAAACTTATGTTCAGCAGCACGATTTCCATTCACTTTTGCAAACTGCATCATGTTTAACTTGAATTCAGCACTGTACGAAAATCTTTTCTGAGCCATTTCTGGGCAGAACGTGGACAAACGTAACCTACCGTAATATACCGGTAACAAGTGTGAAACAATAAGTGCAAAGACAACAAGCGTGAAAAAGGGGGAAATGCAAGTAAAAAAACTAATAACCACTGTATAAGACGCATCCAGTTTTTAGATCCCAAATTTTTCAAAAAAGGGTGCGTCTTATACGTGGGGAAATACGGTAGCTTGTATGCTTCAAAAATGTCACAGTATTGAAAAACAAAGGCAGTGTAACAAGTTGTCACAGGTTAATGGAAACTAAAACACATACTAACTACATGCAACACATTTTTTTGATATGGAGGACATCACTGGGACAATGGTAGAATTTGAATAAGGCCTGTAAGTTACATATTTCCTGTTTTAATTATTGTACTGTGGTTATATCCTTGTTAGAAAACACACTAAAAAATATTTAGGAGTAAAGGTACAATACATATACAACCTCCACTCAACCAGTCTTGAAAAAAAATATGTGAGTATCTAGAAAGAGAATGACAAAACAAATATTAAATGTTTAAAATTGTGAAATATGGGTGAAGCGTATATGAGCATTCTTTGTATTGTTTTCCAACTTGTCTGAAATTTGAAATCATTTCAAAATACATTTAATAAATATTAGTATTTTATTTAATATTCAGAAAAGAACACCTAAAACTCCAAAATCAACTTCCATGATGTAGGAATGACTTAGGGATGTGTAGGAGAATTCAGAGAAAAAAGGGGAGGGGGAGTGAAAAGATGAGAGAACCCTATTTATTGAAAGGCACTATAACTGTGCAATATTAACAGCACAGTTTTACCTGTTATTCCTGCAAATCAAGAACAGGCATGAAAGACAAGATGATATAGTCTAATTTGTGGCATTAGGTAAATTATTTGTCTAGAGAAGTGGACAAGAGATGAATGAAAAACAGAAGTTGGCTTTTAGATTGTTTTCAGATTGAGACTGTTCCCCATAGTAAGTAATTTAAGCTAAGCATAGAAATGAGATTCTATACTTTTGATAAGTTTCCACAAGTGAGACAGGAATATCTACATTAAAGATCTAATGTAAGTCGTTATCAATTTGAATAATCTGGTTTAAATCAGGTGAGAGTCAGTTTTGTCATTTTGCATTTCCAGATTTATACAGCATTAGAATTGAACAGGATCTGTTACGTTGAAAATTTTTATAGCGAGGTGTGCTCCAAGACTCAATTTTATTCATAAGTCTGGTTTTTGCTGGGAGGTCATGCTAATAATGTACATTTTTAAAAATATGCTTTTCCTTTGTGAGGGTTTTCTACATCTCAGCCAAAAGATCTTAGTTCCATTAAAGTAAATGTTAACCAAAAAAAAAAAAAAAAAAANTAAGATGGAAAAGGCATTAAATTTGTGGGTGAAAAATATGAACAGAAAAAAAAATGTATATATACATACATTCATATACATGTATATATTGGGGGTGCCAAAAAATGTATACACATGGCTTGTATTCATCTTTTGTTATCGGTATATATTATTACAATTCTAATACAGTTTTTTCCTTTCTTAAAATGTGTATACTTTTTTTGGGCACTGTCTGTATATAAACAAACCATTTGGTACTATCTGTGGTTTCAGGTGTCCACTGGGGACCTCGGAACATATTAGGACTACTGTACTATGTGGGCTCAATTCAACTTGAATAACTTCCTTTAGCATTTCTTGTAAGGTGGATTTCCTAAAAATCAATTCTTAAAATTTGAGAATGTCCTCATTTTGCCTTCATTTCTGAGAGTTTTGCTAGAAATAAGATTCTTGGTTGACAGTTTTTTCTATTCAGCACTTTGCATGTTATCCCACTGCCTTCAGGCTTCCACTGTTTCTGATGTCAACTGTTAATCTTAATGGGGTTTTCTTATCCATACTGAGTGGTTTTCCTTTTCTAAGATTTTCCTGTCTTTCAGCATTTTCTTTCTGACATGTCTGGGTGTGGATCACTCTACTATAAGAATTTGCTGATCCTCTTCGATTGAAGTTTTTTCATTGAATTTGAGATTTTTAGGCAGTATTCTTGTAATAATTTTTCTGCCTGTTTTGTTTTTCCTCTCCTTTTAGCACTCTTATTACACATATGTTGGTGTTCCACATTTCTCTGAAGCTGTTTATTTTCCTTCATTTTTTCCCGTTCTTCAGATTGCAATATCTGTATTGACTGATCTTGACATTTGCTAATTTTTTCTACTCCAAGCTCAAATCTACTGTGTCCCTCTAATGAATTTTTCATTACAGTTATTGTACCTTCCAAGTTCAGAGATTTCCATTTGGTTCTTTCAAAATAGTTTCTATTTATTAACATTCTGTATTTGATGCAATAGTATCATGCCTTTCTTTACCTCCAGCATGGTTTTAGTTTTAAAAAATGTTATTTATAATAGGTGCTTTGAAGTTTTTGTCGGCTTCCAACATCTGGGCTCAAAGGTGGTTTCTTTTGATTGCTTTTTTTCCTCTTGTATATGGGTCAGTTTATTGTTTCTTTGCAGGTCTTATAATTTTTGTTGAAAACTGGATGTTTTAGATAATATAGTAGCTCTGGAGACTCATCCTCCCCTCTCCCCCAGGGCTTGTTAGTGACTCAGGTGGACTATTTCAGTTAAGTCCACTAACCCTGCTAGTGTAGTCTCTGATGTACCCCCACAGACTCCTCCCTCCAACCCCAAGGACAGCAGTTTTAGTAGGGCTCTCTTTTAGTGTTCTTTTCCCTGATCTCCTCGTAAGGGTTCTAGTTGGTCTGCTTCTACTGTTATCACACTCTGCTATTAACATCCACTAATTGCTGGTGGGACCATTCTATTATTTTTGACAAAGCCCCGGTGCATGAATGGCTGCAGTTTGACCCAATTAAATTCAGGCCCTTGTCGTCTTTGAGGCTTGTTCTGACCCTAGGGCTACTCTTAGCTGCTTCTTTCATTCTGTTAAAATTTCTTACTGGCCTTCCCTTTTGCTTGTCTACCAGTATCCTCTTATTTGTTTACCCCTGCCCTTACTCCAAATCTCCTTTTTCTACAGCAGAATCCTTAAACTTCTCCTCTTTCACTCTGTTCTAAATAGCCGGCCCCTTTAGGGAATGTGATGAAAGCTATTTTGATGGCTTGCTTCTCCCACTGGGCAGAACCTCTGTGCTATTCCCCTGTAGATGGGGGTGGGGAGTGGCTAGTTGCCCCTGATCGTCTTTGCTTGCCTGTCCTTGCTTGGAGACTCCGTCCTAATCACTATTGCTCCAGCTTATGAGTAAGTCAATTGTTTATCTTAATATGGTTATGAATAAGCTAGGGCAATAGTGATCAGGAAACATTATTTGTGGTCTGCCTGCCATTCCTGGAGTAGACGTTCTGTGCTACAAGGAGGACTGGGTGGCAGAGAAGTGCAAGCAGTCTGCTCCTTTTTGGGAGAAATCATAGGCTGAGGTTGGGAGCTGGGAGGAGGGAGGATGCGGAGTCATGGCTCAAATACCGCAGAGACTCACTATTCTTAACCAGATTTAGTATTTTCTTGAATAAATGTTTTTGTTTGCTGTATGCTCTTATGACAATTTCCAGAGACTTTAAGTTTTTAAAAAAATAATACTTATCATTTATAGTTATTTCACTGAGTCTGTAGATCTCATGCTGCCATTCCAAAAGTGTCCTGATTTTTTTTTTTAATGCATGTCTTAAAATACAATAGGACCCTTTAAATAAAGCAATCTGTTCACAACCTGAAAAAGCTTTTTTCTGCCATCAGTTGATTTAACATCAACATGCAGCATACAGAATAAGCAGTTCTTTAATAGTTATGTAAATAGTATATTCCAAAGTGAAGAGTGTTGTTTATAATTCATTTACAAGTGCAGTCTGTTACACCAATAAATGTCATCTGACCTGTTGTATAAATTAAGTAATGTGTGAGAATTAGTCCTGGAATAGTTTGCTGAATTTCTATGTTCAATCAATCCAGTAGATTAAAAACACAATTGTGAATGGTATAAAGATGTAAAAATCATATTGTGATAAAATCAATCACAAAAATAGAATCCAGACCCTTTTCCAATAATTTAAGAACCCAGAAGTTTTCCTCAACTTAAATATGAGCGCCACACAGAAAATATTAAAATGTCTTTCAATGGATGCAAGTGTATAAAACTCTAGAGTAGGACCATTAGAAGACCAATGTATTGAAATCAATAGAATTTAGAAAACACATCTAATTCTAAAGTGAGCAGAAATAAAAAGACAATTTACAAACAATTATATCACATCTCTAATCATCATCAGAGTCCGAATCATATTTCTTGCCTCGGATAGTTTTCTTTTCCAGCTTTGTGAAGTTCGTTCCAAATTTCTTTTGGCTCTGAAATGGCGGCTCCATTAAATTTCCACTAAAAATAAAGCAAATTTGAAAAGCATTTATCCTTTCTAAGTTAGTAGTTCACATACTAAACTGCAAAAAATCAATCTTTTCTTCCTCACCATAACATATAGAATCGAGTAAAATTTTCTTAAAAATGTTGGTGTCAAGGACGAGGTATATCATTCATACGGATGGTTAACAGTGGCAAACCTTATTTTGTACAACTAGATGTTTTATTTCCTTTTTTTGTCATTAATTACTGATTAACATTTCATAGGATACACTCACTGAATTTCTGACTGAAAAGCAAAGAAGGAAATCAAAGGTTTTTTCCATGTGTTTTGGATATGCTGAGCCTGTATCTGGATTAGATTCTTTTCACTGTGAGAATGACAGAAAAATGGTGCTCTATTTCTGAAAGCCTGTTATGACTGGTTTGATCCTGTTTAACATCTATTTTTTTTTTTTTTTAACTAGCTAAGCCATCCTGCCACCTGTTTGGCAGCTCAGGTCAGGCCAGGCATCGAACTGCTGTTGCTCAGAGCTCACACTCTTGAGCGAGCTCTTAACCAACTGAGCCACTCAACCGGCCCTTAACAGCCTTTAA